GTCAAGGGACTCAGCCAGGTCACTGTGCACCCCAGCCGCTGGGGTATGGGAGGTGTGTGGGGGTGACATGGAGGGACCACCATAAAATGTGCTGGGTCACCTCTGAAAAACTGCCGACCTCGGTTTTAAGCTAGCCTTGTGCTGACTTTCACGCGGAGCCTTATGAAGCATGGCCTTCATTAGTTCCCTTTGGCTTTATTCTGTTTCTCAGAAAGCTTGAAGTGGCTTTTAAACTTCCATGAAGGTATGAGCTGCTCCACAATCTAGGTTTCCTTACAGTCACCTCTCGTTTTTCGGTTCATCACTTTAGTGCCGGTAAGCCCTATTGCAGGGAGCCTGGTGTCTAAACTCTCTGATTTCCCTCACCTCTGCAGGACTTTATAGTCAAAGGGAATCACTCCCACCTCCACATGGTAAACTAAGAGAGAAGGGTGTCTGCTCATTCCACTGCTGTCATTATCCCTTGCTGCCAGGCGCCACATACACCCTGATGATTGATACTGAAGGCCACTGCAGGCCATCCTTGCCAGTCCAGCCCCTGGGCAGACAGACACAGTGAGTGATCCCATGGGGCCTCAGTGTTGACTCACCCAAGGAAGAAGAGTGAAAACTAAGTCTCTCTCCCACTTAAGCCTCACAAGCCAGGTCTCTCTCCCAGAGGCAGTCTTTGTTCCTTGTGTATACGTCCAGAGATAGTCTGTACATTTACAAATCTTTTTGAACATTTGCATACACTCGTTTGTTCTTTGATCCCCACCAAATGATGGCATACTCTACACACAGTGCTGTAGTTGGTTATTTAAAATTTAACAGTATATGTGGAGATCATTCCATACCAGCACACCTAGTGCTGCTTCTTTCTTTTTCATGGCTGTATAATATTCCAACATAACCTGTTTATCAGGAAAGAACTCATCTTCATCTGCTTATCTGAAAGTAACCCAAATGTCACCTACTTGTAGACATTTGGATTACTTGCTGTTTGTTATTGTTGTTGTTTCGTTTGCTATTACAAACATATACACGTTTGCATATGTATTCAGGTAATTCAGGAGGCTCTACTTCTGCCCTCTAAGGGAGGTTCCTTGCTCAATTAAAGGAAATACACATTTTAAAATGTAATAGATACTTCCAAATTTCCTTCCACTGAGGTTGTATCGTATTATACTCCCATAAACAGTGTATGAGAGAACCTGTTTTCCCCACTCTCACCAATAGTCTGTTAGCAAACTTTTTTTTGTGTGTGAGGAAGATTGGCCCTGAGCTAACATCTGTTGCCAATCTTCTTCTTTTTGCTTGAGGAAGATTGTTGCTAAGCTAACATCTGTGCCAATCTTCCTCTATTTTTTGTGGGATGTCACCACAGCATAGCTTGATGAGCAGTGCTAGGTCCATGCCCAGGATCCAAACCTGTGAACCTGAACCGTGGGCCGCCAAAGTGGAGCATGTGAACTTAACCACTATGCCACCGGGCCAGCCCCCAACAAACTTTTGAAACTTTGCCAAATCTGACAAGTAAAAAATGGTATTGCACTATAGTTTTAAGGTGCTTTTCTGTCATGAGTGAGGTCAGCATCTTTTCCTGTGATATATTCTTTTATAGATTGCTTTTTAACTGGTGCTTGGAAGATGAAATGCTGCCCAAAGATCAAGCAGTCTGTAAATAATGTTGGAATCTCAATTTTCTGTTACAGGTTTTATTCCAGTTAGCTGTTTTTATCCTAATTAATATAGCGTGCTCTGCAGGGTGCTACATAAGAAATCAATTTTCCTGCTTTAGTAACTGTTTATTAAAAAATGTTTGAAAAGGTTGACTTTTTATTTATAGGTATAAATACTTGAACCCTGTTTTTGTAGTCTCCACTATAGCAAAAGGTGTTATACTCAAACCAATATTGTCTTATTAAATAAAGTACTTTTCAAATTCAATTCAGCAGGGACATTTATGCAACAGAAATTTGAACGTCGACTGGATATTATGGAGATGTTGTTACATTTCTTAGTTGTGATGGTGGTAGAGTGGTTTTGTGTGAAAAAAAAAAGAAAGAGTCCTTGCCTTTTAGAGATTCCTATCTAAGGTATACAGGTGACAGCATCTTACTGGCAGAAAGCAGCAATGACTGGAAACGACATCTGACAGAAGGGAGAGAAGAAAGTGCCAAAGCGGGGCAGCATTTCAACATCAAGAAGACCGAAATCATGACTACGGAAGAACTCCACAACTTTGCCATAGACGGTGAAGACTCTGAAATTGCTAAAGGTTTACCTTGGTTCAGTCATCAATTTAAGTGGAGTCTTCAGTCAAGAAATCAAGAGAAGACTGAGACTGGGAACGGCAGCAGTGGAAGATTTAGGAAAGATCGTCAAGTATAAGGAAGCATCATGAGACACCAAGGCCGAGATTACCCACACTCTCGTATGCCCAATTACTATGAACGGGAACGAAAGCTGGAGAGTGAAGAAGGCTGACAGGAAAAAAGTTGGTTCATTTGGAATATGGTACTGGAGGAAAGCTCTGCAGATACCCTGGCCTGCCAGAACGATGAACACGTGGGTCCTAGAGCAGATTAAACCTGAACTATCGCTGGAGCCAAAAATGATAAAACCAGGGCTCTCCTACTTTGGGCACATCGTGAGAAGGCAGGATTCTTTGGAAAAGACAATAACGCTGGGAAAAGTAGACAGCAACAGGAAAAGAGGAAGATGAAATGTGAAATGGATTGACTGCATAAAGGAAGCCATGGGCATCAGTCTACAGGAGCTGAGGAGGGCTGCTGAGGACGGGGCATTGTGGCCGTCACTCATTCAGAGGGTCGCCAGGAGTCAGAGCTGACTTGATGGCACGTAACAGCAACAACTGAAATATTTATGGGTTAAATGATATGATATCTGGAATTTGCTTCAAAATAATTCTGGAAGGGGCAAGTGGATGGGAGTGTAGATGAAATAATGTTGGTCATGAGTTAATAATTATTGAGGCTGGACGTTAGGTATGTGGTATTCTATTTTTATATACGTTTGAAATTTTCCATAAACATTCTAAAATTCAACAGATGAGTAGTAAGTTTATACTGTGTGCAAGCCGTGGTGCCCTATGTTGCAGGAGATAGACACTTCACAAGTGCAAGAGGCCTTGTCTGCTTGTTCTCTGCAGTGAGCTCAGAGCCTAGGACATTGTCTGCACATAGTAGGTGTTCAGTCCATACCCGTCCTGAAATCCAGCCCACGCTCTGCTCCCCAAAGGGCTGCTCTATTTTTTGTTCCCAAAAGCAGGGGCCCTGATGATGTGCTCCGTGAGTGAGCAACAGACCAAGTGCTGTGAAGTTAAGGAAGGCGAAGTCTCATTTATGTAGGGCTCAGGAAGGTGCTTCGAAGAGTCCATGGCCATTGACGTTGAGGTGCCTGAGACAAAGAACATCCGCTGTGTCCAAGCACCATTTCTAAGCAAAGCAAAATGGCTCCTTTTGTTTAACATGGATTGTTGCTTTTAGGAGCCCGGTAGGGAATTGCTAACAGGAAGAGGAATAACTCAAAAGGCTGTGGGGGTCACAAAACCTTTTTAGAACCTAACCCAGTCCCCGTCTGCTCTCTCTGAGCCTGCTTTGTTCAGAGTCCAGCGTGATATGATGCCCAGAAATGTGCTTAATCCATGCTCTCTCGTGAGGAAGAGAGTAGATGGTGTCATTAGAAAGAAGAGAATCAGAATTGGGAAGTTGTCAAAGGAAATGTCAGGAATTCAGGGAGGAAGATGGGTCCCGTGGGTATGTGTGAGTGATTAGTTAACTCAGAGGCAGAGAAAAATCATGATTTTTAATGTTTGCATGCAGGTGTTAGTATAGATGCCTCAGACTGAGAAGAAAAAAGGATTAAAAAAAAAAAAAAAAGCTAGTCACATCTTGACTAAAAGAAGGCTCTTTGGAGAAATCGTTAATGTTGCATTACAAACACCATTCAGATCTACCAAATGGGCCAGATGGTTGCTCGAACACTGCGTGCTGCCAGCTGCCCATTGCTACAGATGAAGTCTTTCTGCTGACAGTTGTGTAACCCACAAGCACATTGTAGAGTGTTGATTCTTTTGATGCTGTTTAACATTTATGTGTCACCCTAATTATAAACCATAAATATACATGACATCAGGCAATAAATAAAATTGCCCAGCTTTCATTCTGGGAGTGGAGGAGGTTGTATTTAGCACCTGAGAAGAGAAGATGTCTAATATTCATTCCCATTCTTTGTAAATGTCACCCCTCTTGTTGGATCCTCCAGATTGCTGTATGCTCTCCAAGCCCTTATCCCATCCAAACAGCACAGACTATAGGGGCTAATGTACATCGCTGAGCCCCAGATCTTAAAGCATGCCTGGACCAAAAGTCAGGGGGATACAATTCAGGGGAATCCAAATAGTTCCGAATGAAGCCAAACTCTTTTACTTGACAACATATTAAAAGTTCTTTGCAGGTCACGGAATGGGCAGGTGTACAGTGTAAAAGGAAGTAGGTAAATGGAATCAGCTTCTTTCAAAACACATTTTTCTAGAGATGCATTTCTTTTTGCTCTGAAAGAAAGCTGATTCCGTGCCATTCACCTATTAAGAAGGCGGCACATTTACTTGTATCTGCATCTATGAAAACTGAGTGTCTTTTCCCTCTGTGAAAGCCTGAGCACGTGTCTGCGGGAGTGAGAAGTGGAGCAAGAGGGGGTGGGGGCGTAACAGCCCGTGCAATTTGGTTAATCAGTCACAAACGCATAAATGAACTGGCTGGGACAGAACCCCCCTCCCGGGGCAGGGGCACATTCAGTCTTACCCAGGAAGACCTATTTCGAACATAGCATCTTTATTTTAGACCACAGATCCCAGACAGCACGTTTCATGGCTCTATAAATACGAGACTCCAATGCTTCCTGACACCCAGTGTTTCTGCTTTTTAACGTGTAAATAAATGAATGCTCAAAGTGAGTAAATATCTGTGCACTGAGTTTACAATCTTGTCTTTCAGAAATATCGACAGTACATGGCAGGACTTCTGGCTCCTCCTTATGGTGTTATGGAAACGGGCTCTAACAATGACAGTAAGTGAAAAATGGGAACATTTTGTATCTAAAAATTTGTTGTGTGGTGTGTGTTTTCATGTGACAAAAAAATATGTCCTATGCCAGCTTGACAGCGTAAATCTCCAGGCTCTTTTGTGGTTAGACAGACTTGCCAACCAACACTTGAGTTATTTAAAAATATGTATATATCAATACAGTCTTATTTTGTGGTCTTAGCTGATAGCGGGAGCTGTCCTCTGCTGCCACTTGAAACTTCAGCCTACTTGGAATACTTTCTTAACGTATCTTCATTTTATAGTGAAATCTTGTGTCGTTTCCTGTACTCTTTGAAAAATGGGGTTCGTGAACCATGTCTTGGTCACCTCCAGACACCTGAGGGCCCCACTGCTTGCTTATTTTGGCGCTATTAGTCAAGGAGAGAAGCAGCGTGAGGCATTATTTCTTCTTTGTAAATCATGGCCTCTTCGAATTCCAGGCCTTTTATAAGAGACCAGTCTCTGGCTGTTCATAAAAGAAGGGAAGCTTTTGTCTGTGATTCTCTTTTCTAGTGGGTGGGTGCCTGCTAGACTCAAAGGAGTCCTGGGTCCTGAGTCTGCTTATCTGTCTGTGGGTGTCGGGAGCAGCTGTTTAGCCCTCACTACCGTCCCTAGGAGGCGCACCTTGTAGCTCTGAGTCCCGTTTTTGGCTCTTGTATGTGTATGTATGACAAGGTTCCAAGGACTGTGTTTTTGAAGCTGGAGCACTTCGACAACTAGACACAGTGATGGATCGAGCAGCACTTCCACTCCAGGCATCTGCAGTCAATGGGTCACCCTGCAAATCCTCTTCCTAGCTCCTTGAATTCCACTCTCCCAGATTTGTCACTCTCTACAGGTGACCCTCTGCCATGCTTGTCCAAGATCTTAGATCTTAGGTGAGCTTCCTCACCTTCCTTCGCTCCTGTTCACAATTTCTTTGCAGCCTCTGCTCACACACTCTCTCTCTCTCTCTCTCTCTCTCTCTCTCTCTTTCTCCCTCCCTTCCTCTCCCTCTCTCTCTCTCTCTCTGTTTCTCTTCTGTCCTGGAGGGAGGGAAGGAAGGCAGGTCTTTCTTTCCTATCCTTTCCTTCCCTGTTCTTGATTTCTCTCCTCTGGCTGATCTAGGGATGACTGGCTCATGAAGAGTACCTGAGCTGAAATTCTAGCTGTGCTGACTCCTAGCTGTGACTTTTGGCAAGGCCCTTAGTCTCTCTGTGACTCGGTTTCCTCACAGGATTGTTGCGCTGCTTGAATGAAGCAAAACATGTCATGTGTTTAGAAGGGTGCCAGGCATATAATAAGCACTCAAATGATGTCAGCTATTATTTCCTCACCACCAGTCACCCTTTAACCCCTCAGCATCTGCTTCTGCCCCGTACCTCTTGACTTGAACCATCTATAGTCTCCAGTGATCAACCAATAACCAGACTCAGTCGTTCCGCATTCTCTCTGACTTTGAATAAGACTGTCCATGTTCAGACTCCATTCTCCCATGGTTCCTGGGCTCTGCTGCATTACCCTGGTTTTCTCCTATCTCTCTGGCCACTTGTGTTCTTGTCTCTTTCACAGGTACTTCTTCCTCTCACCCAAAAGTTCGGATATTACCCAAGAGTCCAGCCTTGGCTGTTTTCCTCTCTACTTTCCCCTCAACCATTTCATCCTTTCTTGCCATTGATACACCTACTCTCTGAACCAATAGTTCTGTTTGATTCCTCCAAAGGGCAGCCTAGCTTTCCAAATGTCTTCTGGTTCTCTTTCCACCTGGATGTCCCGCTGGCGTCTGAAGTTCAAAATGTCAGTGACGGAACACATCCTGATTGTCCCCAAACCGGCCCCTCCTCCTGAAAGTGCCTTTCTGTTGATAACTCCACTGTTCTTCTCCCTACCGGGCCCTAAACCTCAACCATTTTGGAGTCCTCCTTTCTCTCACCTCCACCTGCCCAGGTGAATCACTTGTCCATCCCTTCCTCCTTCCTTCATGGTGTTCGTATTCTTTCCTGTCTGTTTCCTCTGCAGCCACCTGGCTGAGGGCCTCAACATTCTTGACCTGAGGGCAAAAATAGCTCAACTGGCTCTGAACCTTCAGTACCCCACCCTTGGTCTACCCTACACCTGACTTACACGGAACCATTTTTAATCTACTTTTTACTTGTGAAAAATTTCAAACATACAGAATGATATGGTTAATACCCACTGTTTTCATCACTTCAATTTAATTAATATTAAAATTTTACTACTTAAATATGACTTTATTATTAATAACAATATGTATTTTAATATTAATATTTTGCCATATTTCCTCCTTCTAATCATGTATGTATATTTCACCCCAAATACTTAAGCAGATATTTTGAAAATACAGACTTTCCCATGCAAAACAACACCACCATTATCACACCTAATAACTGGTAGGATTTTCCTTAATAACATCCACTACTCAGTCCATATTCAGATTTCCCCAACTGAATGTCTTTGTACCTGATTGCTTAAACTGAACTTCAATCAAGGACCATGCTGTTGCATCTGGTTTTTATGTCTTAAATGTTTTTTAATTTTGAACAGTACCTTCCCTCTTTTTTCCTGATCATATCACTCTGTTGCTCAAAACACTTTTTAATGATTGTCCATTGCCTGCCATGGAAGGTGAAATTCCAAGATTGCTAATGCCTTAACCCAACTTTCAAGTTCCTGGATGGCCCCAAATCACCTTTTCAGTATTATTTCTCTGCAGATACCCTAATTTCCAGCCATTTCGGTATAGTGATTTGTGCAACTATGTATTTTTCTTATTAAACCTTCTAGAAAAGTAAGCTCCTGTTACATCCCTGTATCTCCTCATTTAATCAACTCCAGTCCATTCAAATGGTTGTTGAATAAATGGATGACTCGATGGATGGATGGACGGATAGATGGATGGACGGATGGATGGATGGATAGATGGATAGATGGATGGATGAATGGGTAGATAAATGGATGGATAGATGGGAGGATGGATGAATGAATGGATGGATAGATGGATGGATGGATGAATGGATGAATGGATAGATAAATGGATGGATGGATGGATGGATGGATGAACGGATGGATTCAAGACGAGTTTCAGAGTGCTGACATTATCCACCCTTACTCTTTCTGACAGACCTGGGAAGTGATGGAAAACATGCCCATTAATACTCTCTGTTTGAGGTGGCAACCCTCTCTATCCCCCTACTTCCTGCCGGAGCTTTCATATCCTGGTGCTTGCTATCCCAATTTGGAGGTCGAAGTTTAATTAGGGAATGTTTCCAAATAGTCTCTTCCATTCTTACTCCTCCTGTGTACTATATTGCTGCCTATTAGGATGGGCACTCAGTGCTTTTAATGCCAATATTGTAAATCTGTGTAGCCCTTATTAAACACAGGATGTTCTGTTTATTCAGAATTTGGACGCATATTTTTACATTGCAAACCACCTCACACTGCCCCAGTGGTTCAAAGCTAGATGCAAGCTACACATAAAAACCACTTGTGCTTCTGTCTCCTCAATATAAGATCACTTGTGCCCCCTATACTGGGGGCTTTAAACTCTGCTGGGGCTGTGGACCTCCCAGTATGGCTTACCATGTCAGTCAGAGTAGCAGCCCCAAAGGAGATGCAAAGGACTGGGGCCTGCCTGTAGTAGATGCTCATGAAATGTTTGTAAATGAATGAACAAATGAGTGAATGGATGAATGAGTAACTTTTTCACTAAGAAAACGGGGATGCCCCTGGAAATAGCCACTGCCACGCTCAGACCCGACTTGGAGGCAGCAGGAGTTTGCTTTGCCCCAAATGGAAGTTGTGTTCTGGTGGGTTTTCTGTGCAACTTGCACGTGGAGAAGTGCAAGGTGATTTGAAAAGGTAAAAATACAGTATGTGCAACTTAAGAGTTGATGTGTGTGTCCAAATTCTGAGGGTTCTGGTCTCCAAGACAGAGGAGTTGGTTGCTCATGTGATGTAAATGAACTAGGGATGAATTTGTACCTCTGGGAAAGTAAAGAATATGGTAGAAAAGCAAAACAAGTGTGACATTTTGTTGCCTGGCACACAGCCCTGCTCCTGATTTGTTGCTTTATTTGGGTTACAGATTTTGATAGAGACTGCTATTTTTCTAAGTAGCATTATGTAAGTTTTCATGGGAACACAAATTGAAAACACCAAAATTTCACTTGGTTTGATTCAGTGAAGGATTTCAGTTCCATTTTGCAGGTTGATCTTACAATTCATGATCTCTCTCTCTTTTTCCTCTTCTAGGGATTCCTGACAAGGAGAATGTGAGTAGCTCCTCTTTCTGCCTCGCTCCTAAAAACTGTCATAAGGTAAAAAATAATCATGGTAACCTATCAGCAAAGAAATTTCTTTATCCACGTTCAGCAGAGCAATAAATATTTTTCTAATCTTATTCTGGCATCTTCGGTGAGTCACTTTGAAATATAAAGGGGAGAAGGTTGATTGCTGTGACATCGTTGTCACATGTCCTTGATATTAACTGGGCTGAGGAAAGATTATTCCAGGGGCAAACAGTACATTGCTAAGTTTTCTTTTTCCCATGATGTATACATGGCAGTAGAATAAATCATTTGTTTAACAGCATATAGAAAATTAGTTGTTTTTCCTTAGTAGGAATACAAAATATGAAATTCAAGGTCAGTTGATGAATTTGCTGAATTGTATCCAAGTGCATTAAAGTCAATATTTCTCTTTGGAAGCCAAAAATAGTTAATTGGCATGATTGTTTAGGGACAACAGGTAAGGGAATAGAGGGTTTAGGACAAACCTTTCACTAAGAACCAGTGCCCAACGGCATTCTAAGGAGAGTACTGATGTAGTGGCATCATCTTTGCATGCAGCTAATAATAGTGATATTAATTATATTAACTGGAATCCAAATTTAGACGTAACATGGAAGGGTTAATGGTGGAAGCATGTAGTGATTCATGTGAAGCGGTGCCTGGTGGCTCTCAGATGTATCACCCTGTCATTGTGTTCCTTGATTGCTGTACCCAAGTGGCAATGCCACAGAATTGTCACCCGCTCCTTTCCCTGCTTTTGGTCCTGTGTCTGTGGGCAGAGGTATCATCTTAATTAAATTCAGATGACTTCTATATCCCTTCTCAGAGATCTGACTCTATCTTTCTTTAGGTCTTCTTGTTTTTACAATGTTAGTTTTAAAAGGCTAGTTGGGAATTCTGGCCCACTGCCGTACTGCTGCAAATTTGGGTCCAAGACCTAGCCATGTCACTTCAAATGTCACACCCACATTTTACTGGGCTTAGTTCAGCAAAGGATTTCAGTTCCTAGCTGTGGGGCCTCGCACAAGCTACCTGACTTCTCTAAACATCCTTGCCTCATCTTTAAAATGTGAATGTTACTTGTGACTACCTTAAAAGGCCATTGTGAATATTGAATGAGATAATCTAGGGAAAGTATAGTACAGTAGAGCTCAGTAAATGTTAGGACTATTATTCTAATTATTATTTTCTCAAGCCTTGTATCATTTTCTAGCTTTTTTTCTCCCTCTGAAAAATGTCCTACCCTCTATAAAGTAAGCACCCTGTTGCCTTTTGTCACTCTCTTTAAAATACCTTTCCTCACTGAACCTTTTCATTGACCTTTTGCTATTAAAAAAATATCTTTGTGTGTTAAGTAAAGCTGTAGATAATCAGGTTCATGGAGAGTCAAAAAAGTAACAGCTTTTAGTATCTAAAGTGACAAACTGATCTTGTCACCATTTTGGACACGGATGTCCCAAAGCACACTACAACAAATAGTACACAGATCATTAGCCAAACACAGATGATAAAAGGGCCTGATGCTTCCTCATCAAGGGACTGTGAGCGATGTGGAGAGCACACACAGAATGGCCAAGCCCTAGGAGGTCTAAAATATTCTAAGCTTCAAAGGAAGCTCTGTCTTTCTTAGGCCCCCAGTGACCTTTAGGTTGGACCTCCCTGCAGTGGGACGACAGACACAACGTTCTAAGCTGAGAGCCTACCAGCTGTCACCATGTGGCTCACTTCATGACAAAATAGCAATTTGAAGTTTGCAGAAAGTCCGCTACAGTGAGCTGTTATCAGCCTGTTGCAGTGAAAGATTTAGGGTGTTGGCCAGGCTGTCTCCCCAATATTAGTCATAGTGTATGCTTGTTTGTGTTTATTTCAGCCATTCTTTGTCAAATTCTCTAGCAAACAGAAAAGCACACTTTTTCTCTATCAGTAAATAGAGTGGATGTCATGTCACCACGTGCTGTTAGGAAAGCTCTCCCAGGCCATCAGTCAGAGTAAAGCAAATGAGATGAAAGACATTCATGAGTAGAGGTGAAGCTCTAGGAAGATAAAAAGAAGCCTAAGACCCTTAAAGTGGTGTTAATTGAAATTTTTCCTTTACAAGAGACAAGTTGTTTATGATGCTTTCCTTTGTCCTTTACCTTCTTTAACTACATGCTGGGCAATATTACATTCCCTGTATGTTTTAAATAGCAATAGTATGCCTGTGGACTGAAACAAAAGCACTTCGACTGTTGTTTCAGTGTCCAAACAGATTCTTGGTGGAAAGAATATTTTCTCTTTCCACTCCTACTCGTTGTATTGTGAATCGCCATGTTTAACTTTTAATCAAATATGCAGACGTCAGTAAGTGGTGTTTTTAGCTGCCTCACCACTTACATTTTATTTCCAGACCCAGCTTTACCTTTCCTTTCATAAATTGCACTTTCATAGAAACAAGTGGGCTGGCAGTTAACCTGCTGGATTATTTGTTCTACTACTAAGTGTGATTGATAGGGACATCCTTTAACTTTTGGTGACACAGGATGCTGGAACCCATAAAATAATTGATTAAAATATTAGAAAAATGACATGGAGCCAATAAAGCAAGTCGACTGTTTTGGTAGGGTTGTGATTGTTGGGGGCTGTTGGTTTATAAAGAAATTCTTCTCTGATCTATTTAATTTGTATTTTTTCCATCTTCTGTATATGCAGTATCTGACTGACCATGTTTAACGCAGAAGCTAAAAAATCACATTTACAAGAAAGCTTTAGAGTTGAATCTTACAGTTGCCCTTTGAAGAAATGAGATGGTCTATAATTTTTTGCTACTTATGTAGATTTTGTTACTTACTGTGCTCCATCCCTTTGAGAGGCAACTGCTATAGGGTTTTATAGTTTTAGAAGTTTCTACTTTTCTTCCTCAGTGTTGAAAGAGCCAGAAAATAGACTCAGGAAGATATTACAAAATAATCCCATTTTCTGATTTACAAACATATGTTTCTAAAAGGATCATTTGGGGTCCCCATTTTTTAGGCAGTTACAGTATTGAGAATATGTTGTATTGATAGTGTGATTAGCATGCTTCTTGGTGAATATGGAAGACTACTTTCCCATTATAAAATGCCATCAATTCAGAGCTCAAAGATTTCCCAAACACTAGAAGAACTGATCCTGGCGATTAATAACAAGCGAACTTGTGGGTCTTATAAAACTATTTGGTAGAGCTCATTTTAAGAAGATTACATAAAATAGGAGTTTCTCAAACTTTTAAAAATCATGAGTCACTTATATAAAGAATAATCTTTAGAAATTATTATAAAGGCAAAAGGCTTGAAATGGCAAGTGGTGAAGAAATAATTTACACAGTTCATGAAATTCTCTTTAAGGAGAAGGCAACAGAATAATAGTAAGCAAGTAACTATTAGGATCAAAAGGTTAGGAATTTTAGGACGTTTTAGGGACTATAATAACTTATCTCTACTGTTGCTCTTTTTCAAAGTTAGAGAAAACAACTTAGAATATTTTCCACCAGTTAAATGATGACGTCTTATTTTACCGTTATGGATTGACTATGATTCTAGGTCAGAGGAAGAAAAAAGAAATTGTGTATCCTGACACAAACTTAAAATATAAGAAACTCAACCTCATGAAACCGTGTAAAACCTTTCAACTCTAGCTTTTAGAACACCTACTGAATTCAAACCAGCAGTTTTCTGTGGCGCAGTTTTTAAAATCTTGCTTTAAAACATGACTGATATGCATCCGGAACTTATCAAGACATCTTGGCCAGAGTTCACAGGTTTCCCCAGCAGCCAGTTCCTCTGTTCTAGGGAGAGAAATGGTGTAACTAGCGCTGTCCCTACCCTCAAACAACGTATGGAACTGGTGAGGGTGCCAAGCTCTGTGCAGGAGAGCAAACCAACAAAACGCTAAAGACAGAAAATCTGGGGCCTACTCATTTTGATTTTGAAGGACAAATTGTTTATCGCCCAAGGGAAGATTAGATTTCACAGTGTTGTTTGCCCCATCAGTGCGCTGTGTGGTGTGTAAACACTCGTTTCTTTTGCTGGCCTATTAGAAGGTTGAGCTCCATGAGCCAAGGCTTACTCTGCCCCACCTCCTGGAAAACACCAGGGACTTTGTATCGTAGCTGCCAAGGACGACTTCAGCTCTCAGGACTCTCAAGAAATGTTTGTTTTTGTGTTTGTGAGTTACGCATTTTATGGGGTCGAAGACCCTTGTTGAATTTCTTTCTGCTTTGTATTCCATCTGTTCCTCTACTCTGTTATAAAAGCTGACTGTGCCGTCTCTCTCTAGCTTCTGCAGTGGTATATTGATTGAATTTTTAAGATGATGTGTAGTTGTCCTTCATCTAAACAGTAAATAATAAATGCAGGTAAGAGTCTAAAAAGTTGATCCATCTGTTGGCAATAAGGCCACGAGTTTGTTGCCTCTGAATGTTCTCAGCAGTGTTCACAGGACCTGCTTGCCATGAGTTTGCTTGGTGAAAGGGCACATATTGGGGTGTATTTGGGTGGCGGTTCATTAATATACGTTAGAATTATTTTTATAATAACTATGAATTACATTTGCTGATGGTTTCAGTGTTCTGATTTTGGTTTCTCTATATTTTAAAATTTTCTTTTACGGAGTTGAACTTTTTAATGTTGCTGCCGTGCTGATGGTTTTCTAGGCTTGCCACTGAGTTGTACCATCTAACCCTGCTTTGAATTTGTTCTCTCAATCTCTCCTGTAATCAGAATTTGACTTGGGCAAGATATCACAGAGAACCTGGGTAGTGTTAAATGGCTAAAAATAATAATAATGAAAGAAACCAGATTCCACAATCTCTCCAGCCAACAGCTTCTCCTTGGTCTCACTTTAAAAAAATGGCACAGCCTTGAGGTGAGGGTGCTCCTTATCCGCTCTGCTGCTGAGAATTAGTTCCTCAATCAGCAGGGGCAAGGAACATAAAGTCATGTTGATAATAAGGTACCGTACTATAC